AGTTTGACTTCTAAACTTCCTTTGACAAATAGAACTAGAATCAGATTTACAAGGACATCACAGTGCACTATACTACACTAATTAACTTTATGCACTACACTACACCTACAGCTACAGTACTTTACACACTAGACTACACTACACTTTACTACACTACAGCACACAACACAAAAGTACACTACACTACACTACATTGCGCTGCACTACATTACGCCACACTACGCTAATTACACCACACCACAACTACAACTGCAACTACAACTACACTACACTAAATTACAATTACAACTACACTACTACTACAACTCCACCACACCCACCCGCGCTCCTCTTTCCTCACGGTCCTCTTGGTTTCCTTGACAATGATTTCTGCAGACTCTCTGGTGAATGTCTGACTGGTTTTATTTCCCCCTGTTTAAGGGATTCCTTTGACGGCGTTTATTTACCAGTAGTATCGCGCAAGGCGGTGGCGAAAGCTTCAAAAATAGGAAACCTATGGGAGAGGTTGGTTGTTGTGAATCACGGATGGCAGAGCGAATCCACTGATGGACCGAAAGGTGGTTGAGGTCTCCTCTCTTTCTCTCTCTTTCTGTCTCTTTCTCTGACTCTGACTATCTACCTACCTACCCACCTATCTATCTATGTATCCATCTATCTCTCTCTCTCTCTGTCTGTCTGTCTGTTTGTCTGTCTATCTTTCTATCTATCTATCTACCTATCTACCTATCTATCTATCTATTTATCTATCTATCTATCTATCTATCTAGCTGTCTATCTATCTATCTATCTAGCTGTCTCTCTATCTATCTATCTATCGATCGATCGATCGATCCATCGATCGATCGATCGAATCGATCGATCGAATCTATCTATCGAATCTATCTATCTATCTATCTATCTATCTATCTATCTATCTATCTAGCTGTCTTTCTATCTATCTATCTATCTATCTAACTAATCTATCTATCTATCTATCTATCGATCGATCTATCTATCTATCTATCTGTCTATCTATCTATCTATCTATCTATCTAGCTGTCTCTCTATCTATCTATCTATCTACCTACCTATCTATCTATCTGTCTGTCTGTCTTTCTATCTATCTTTCTGTCTATCTATCTATCTATCTATCTATCCATCTATCTTTCTATCTAACTATCTATCTATCTATCTATCTCTCTATCTATCTATCTATCTATCTATCTATCTATCTATCTATCTATCTATCTATCTATCTATCTATCTAGCTGTCTCTCTATCTACCTGTCTGTCTGTCTGTCTTTCTATCTATCTATCTATCTATCCATCCATCCATCCATCCATCCATCTTTCCATCCATCCATCCATCCATCCATCTATCTGTCTATCTATCTATCTATCTATCTGTCTGTCTGTCTGTCTTTCTATCTATCTATCTATCTATCTATCTATCTCTTTTTCCAGCTGTCTCTCTATCTATCTATCTGTCTGTCTGTCTGTCTTTCTATCTATCTATCTACCTATCTAGCTGTCTCTCTATCTATTTATCTATCTAGCTGTCTCTCTATCTCTCTGTCTATCTATCTATCTATCTATCTATCTATCTATCTTTCTTTTCTGCCTCTCTATCTATCTGTCTGTCTGCCTGTCTGTCTATCTATCTATCTATCTGTCTGTCTGTCTGCCTGTCTGTCTATCCATCTATCTATCTATCTATCTATCTATCTATCTATCTATCTATCTATCTATCTCTTTATCTAGCCGTCCCTCTGTCTATCTATCTATTTATCTATCTATCTATCTACCTATCTATCTATCTATCTCTCTCTCTCTCTGTCTGTCTGTCTGTCTGTCTGTTTATCTACCTGTCTATCTGCAAGCTTGAAAACGAAGCTATTCTGCGAGACGTCCTCAGGGTTTGAACTTGACAACCTAAAATACGGAGCAATTCTGCGAGATTTCCTCAATGTTTGAACTTGACAACGCCAAAAACGAAGCAATTCTGCGAGTCTTCTTCATGTTTCAAAGTTGACAACATCAAAAACGAAGCAATTCTGCGAGACTCCTGAAATTTTGAACTTAACAACGTCAAAAACAAAACAATTCTGCGCAACTGCGTCATTTTTCAAAGTTGATAACATCAAAATCGAAGCAATGCTGCGAGACTTCCTTCAAAAATGGAAAGTTCCGTGCAGCGCTGACAGCCTCGTACCAATGCGTTTTGCGATTTTTCCAGTCCATCTGTCTAAATTACTGTGCTTGCCACGAAAAAGTGATGCCAGGTCATACGAAGTGTTGCACCTGTCACTCAAAATGACCTCTGCAAACCTGAAGATCTCAGGCTCCAAAATGCAACCCCTCTCAGGAAATCAGCGCCCGGACCTCCTAACAGCTCTGATGAACATGTCTCTTGTGCTGCACCTGCCACGGAAAATGCATCTGTGCAGATCCTCTTCAAATGTCCCATGCCTGCCATCGTTTTTGGAAATGCTACACAACCTTCACGTTTTGCTCACTTTTGACAAGGTGCACAATCCCTTGCGCCTGCCACGCGAAACGACATCTCAACTTCCAAATGTGGCGCGAACATGTGGTGCTTTTCACAGTTTGACTTCGAAATGTGCTTCGCGCCAAAACGGCGTGCACTTTTTCAACAGCGCAACTTCTAAAAGTGCTCCGAAGTTGAGGTGCTTTCTGCATTTTGACTTCGAAATGTGCTTCGCGCCACAACGGCGTGCACTTGTTCGACATCTCAACTTCCAAAAGTGCTCCGAATGTGATGTGCTTTTAGCTTTTTCACTTGCAAATGTGCTTCTCGCCACAACGGCGTGCGCTTTTTCGATGTCTCAACTTCCAAAAGCGGTCCGGGGCCGGTGTGCTTTGTACATTTTGACTTCGAAATGTGCTTCGCGCCACAACGGTGTTTTTCATCTCTCATCTGGCCAGATGGCTCCGCACCCGCCGCTTTAGCGAGCCTACTTTTCGACCCTGCGGAGCCACAAATCATTGGAAAAGCAGAATGTTTCGCGACTTTCCTACCTTTTCGCGCACCTGCATCTTCTTTCTTCTGACTCTTTCTCTTCTCTGATCTTCTCTCTTCTAATCTTCTCTTCTCTCTGGCTCTTCCCATCTCTGCTTTCATTCGTCCATATTGTTGGAAGTTTGACTTCTAAACTTCCTTCGATCATCTTGAGTGAGATTTTTCGGACACCGTTTTAGGCATGTCGGTTTTTGATATCCATTCTGGGTCTGAATTAGCCGGGTGATCAGATTTGGCTCAGCAGAAGGCTTCCATTTTAGTTGAATTAGGACGCTAAACAATCCCGCGTGGGACGCAATGAGAGGAAGCCACGGACTGGAATGATTTGAATGCCATAGGGCCACGATTTGCTCGATGTCTACAGTTCATGTGAGAATGAGGATGAGGCAGAATGCATTTTGAGAGATGCCTTTGGACATGAAGGCGATGCTGGCTTGCATGCCGAGGGTGTGCGACGTTTGATGGACTGGAGAGGGAAAACGCATGGTCTTTACAAACGTGAACTTGCACTTCATTGTAGCAACAGTTTCAATTTTAATTCACACCCGGGTACAAGTCGTACACGTAGTCTCCAAGATGAATTTGAGGAGATTGTCAAAGAGTGGTTTTATTTACCCCTGTTTGGGGATTCCTTTGACGGCGTTTATTTATCATCTTGAGTGAGATTTTTCGGAAACCGTTTTAGGCATGTCGGTTTTTGATTTCCATTCTGGGTCTGATTAGCCGAGTGATCAGAGTCCCATCACAGCATTTGGCTCAGCAGAGGGCTTCCATTTTGGTTGACCTTCCCAAACTTCGTTTTTCCCAACCCTTTTGAACCAAAGCATTCTGATACCATGATTTCTTCTGAAAGACCTGGTGAATATGATCGCTTTTATTTCTATGCTCATGACGTTTAAGGAGGCAAATGAAGATTCCTGTGCAGACAAGATCGGCACAATCGAAGCCATTGCAGCTTTGGTGAAAGTGGTTTTGGAGCATGCGGCCAACCGCCTTCTCTTCATTCACTGCTGTTTATATGGAAAGGTTGCACCCATTGACGGAAATGGAAGTGCCTTCTTCCCAAACCAGACGGCTCAGACACCGACTTGCCTGGCAACACCAGTCAGACACCTTCCGCTCTCTCGAGTGTCTGATTTTGAATGGTGCCCATTCAGATGTTTTGTTGCTCCGGGTTTCAAGGCAATGGAGGAATTGCAAGCATGGATCCTTGACAATTATTCACCTGAGATCCATGACGACATATTTGCAATTTGCAGCGACTGCTTGCTCCTACTGGAAACCGTGGCTGATATGTGCTACATCCCTTTGCAAACCTGGATGGTTCTGATAGCAGTGGTGGTACCCATTGAGGGGCGATGATTTTATCCTCGACATACAAGTGAGGTCTCAGGATGAAAGAACCTGAGATGAAAGAATCTGAGATGGTTGAAACGAGGATGAACAGCTTTGATGGTTCTTGCGAACTTTTGCATCACAGTGTATCCAATTCCGAAAGAGAGTGGAGCAGCGCGATTCAGTGTCAAACATGTCGATTGAAAGTGCGGAAGATTTTTCACGAGAGAATGCATTTTCTTTGGAAGTTGAATTTTTGGGTTTTGTTTGTTGAGGCATTTGTTTTAGTTTCCGTTTGGTTTACGCGTAGTCCGCGTGGCGTCTGCGGCGTTTTGGGGGGCTTCGCCCTTCTTCCTTCCCCCCTTGGCTCGAGTCAGAGGAACAGCACAACTACAACTACAACTGCGCTACACCACACCACATCCAACAGCTGCGGGTGAGGTGACCACTGCAACCACTCCAAAAAACACAACTCCAACCACCTTTCGGTCCATCAGTGGATTCGCTCTGCCATCCATGCATCACAGCAACTCACCTCTCCTACAGTGTCCTATCTTTGAAATTTTCGCCGCCGCCTTGCGCGGTACTGCTGGTATTTGGACATGTGTTTGGCCATTGTGTTCTCGTGACTCTTGGTGGTTCTCAGGCAGATCTTTGTGGTCAAGTGCGCTGAAGTGCAGTGTCTTGACTGCAGGGCAGTGGAAAGCTTGCACGGCATACACGTGCAGTCCCCACTGCAGTTCCCAGGTTGATGCACTGACGCATACTGACGCCAAAGTGCAACTTGCGCAGGTCCTTGACAGAGACGGCCAGAGGTCACGGTGGCTTTGGAAGCACAGGAGTTTCGCAGGTTTTGGCCTCAGACTTTCAGAGCCTCTGGCGATGTCTCAGCGTGAACAATGCTTCAGGCTGTGCCAAAGCAGGACCCGACTTACGCCGTAATTTGCTTGAAAAAACGTATTTCGTTCATTGAAAGAGCTATTGAAACCTACTAAAAACTATTGAAAACTATTCAGAAACATTGACAGTTTGTGCCACTCAGTCTTGTGATGTCGAAAATTGTGACTCAGGATGGTGATGTTTTGTGGCTGATACGGGGGATTGTACAGGAGTCTGCTGACGCGTCAACCCTCAGAGCCGAGCAGGTGTTTTGGTACTGTACAGCCTTGCTTGAACTTGTTTGTGTCATCTTGTGCCTTTGTCTCGACAAGCTGTTCAGTTTGCTTCAGGTCACCCAAGCTGGGGCATAATGGCAGTTTCTTCGCCATGCTCTCGGGGGCATCAGACATCACGATTCTCAGCTGAATCTGCTTGGATCTGTTTCGCGCATTTTAGCATGGCCAACTTGTTGGCGATTCTTGTACTTGGTCCTGGTGCCTTCTTTGATCACAAGCTACTTGAGTTCCTTGAGCAGCAGTGAACCTTCCAGGTATTTCCATTGGGAGCTGATGCGCGGGTCTGTTCGATTTCGGAATATCCGAAATCATGGGAACATCTGAGAGTAGACAGGAGAGTGCGGAAAACCACTTGCCCCTGCTGATCTTTAGCAAGCCGGCATTCTTAGAATTCTTTGCTGAAGTGGTTGTGTGCGCATGTTTGTTCCTGGCGAGTACGGGCCTGCATTGCAGAGATTCCTCACTTTGAACTGGCACAGAGAAGGGGCAGAAATCACTTGGATCCGTACATAATAGATTAGATGCCTCTTTAAAGTTCAATGATTTCGTCAGGTCAGTGCTGCTGCTTTGGTCGATTTGTTTGGAGAAGTCCTGCGCATGGACCTCAGGCTTGACAAAGATACGAAGTACGACAGCGTCAAGGATCTCAAGAGTTGTTGTTTTTTCAGTCATTTACAACTGCTGTTCATGTTTTGTTTTTCTATTTCAAATGTTTCAGCGAAGTTCATGACTGCAACTCCAAGCTGGCTAGCGAAGGTGGTAGTCCCTTACGTGTGCACTTGGGAGCGGACATCGCAGTGGTAGAGAAGGATTTGCAGGTGCTGTTGGCAACAAGAAACGGAACCGGACACATCATGATTAGAAACTATGCATATGTATATATACAATCACAATGTGTCATGTTGTGTTATATCATGCCAGATCAGATCACATTACATCATATTGGTCATACTGCATCCTGGGAAATAGAGCTCAAGATATCTCAAGCTGATGTACAAATTATCTCCTTACATCATTGACGCGTCACATGGATTCCCATGGTGTGTGTTGTGCAAGGCCCTAGAGACCAACTTCGAATGGCTGCTGGGTTTGGGTGGCTTTCACGCCACTCGGCATTCACATTTTTTTCCTCCTTGCTGCCTCATTTCAGATATGTTCAGTTCAGCAACTGTTGCTTCCTCCTGCTTCCTCTGCATTGCATCTTCTATGAGATCCCAAGACTTCTGCAAGGATGGGCTCCGGAAGCTCATTGGCCAAGCAGCAGAGCTGAGATTTGGATTAGCGCTTTTGCAACATCAATCAATATGTCTTCACATTCACATGTTCACATTTCTTCACATGTCTTCACATGTCTTCGCTTAGGAAGAAAGGCAAGTGTGCAAATCTGCTTTTTCAAAGAGAATCTGTTGCAGAGAAAGCAGGTCTTTTTGGACCGTGGTCTTCTGGGGCAGGCTGGGCGCATGCCGAATGCACAATTCGTGGCTGCAGGAATGAGAGCATTTGAGGGATTCCAAATGCCTTTGGATTTCAATAAGACATTAAGCGTTATTAAGCTCTTCTGCCTCGGAGAAAGTCATGTCTGCTGGAGGGCTGCGAAACCTTGCCCAAAGGACAGGAAATATGAGAAGGAAAAGCGAAGCCCAAAACTGCGAAACATTGCCCAAAGGACAACAATCAAGCACTGCGCGAAGCCAAAACGCACTGCAAAAGTCGCGGACAAATCAGTTTTTAAAATTGTCTAGAACCTAGAAGCAGGCGGAAGAGGCAACAACAACAACAACAATGAAACTGCTCTGACTCATTCCGACTCTAACTTAGTTTATATACCTCGATCAATCTGCCATGTGCTGGAAAGTCTCGGGCTGTTTAATGCAATTTGTTCTGTTTCTCGTCCTTTGAGGCCCAGAGTGCTGTGGAAGTTTTGCTTAGGTGCCCGGAATCGAGCGTGTCCAAGAATTTGCAATCTTTCAGATTTTTTCCATTGGTGAGGTTTTCCTTGTTTGAGGCATTCCCATTTGATGGAGCCTTCGATTCGAAAGCTAGAGTTCGTTGCTCAGTCCAAGAATGCTTGATGATTGCTCTGGATTTGCCTCTCAGATTCTAGCATTGTTTCCTTCGTGCGAGTTCGGCATGCCGCGTGACTGACTCTTTAGATCTCCATAGTCAATGTCCTGCCCAACAATTCGCACACAAGCGCCAGCACACCGGCAAGACCATTGTTGGTTTGCTCAACTAATCTTTGGGTAAGGGCCGCTTTCTTTAACCTTTGTGGCTGCTATTGTGTGCCTAGTTAGTTCAGGGGTGCATCCACACAAGCGCTCTGATTTTGACTTAAAGATACCAAAGTTGTTTTGCTAAAGCAGTAAAGGATCCCCTTCGAATTTAAGCTACAGACTGGGAGGCCTTGTGCCCTCTCTAAAGTCTTCCGTTTTAGTTAGGCAAAAGTTATCATAGGCACCATGTCCGGCCCCATATTTTATAGCGTATGCTTGTGAACCCCATCCTAAAAGGAAACATATTAATCATGTCAGATCCCCGTCTGGTGTCCTGAGCTGAAAACCTAGGGGCACAAGCTCATGGTTTTCAGCCAAAAATTGGCCACAAACATGTTGGCTTTAGGCTTTAGGTTTTTATTTTTGCTAAAAATATATCAGCATTATAGGTTTTCATTTTGTCATTTTTTTGCTACTTTGTTCTAAGAAGACCTTGGCCCCTAAGGATTTTAGATTTTTAGAATTTTGTGGAACCAAGGAACATGATGCCTTGAACCCATAAGATTTCAGCCAGGAAAAATGTTTCACCTTGATCAATGTCTTGACTTGTGATACCTCGAACCTATGGTCTTCGCAACAGGTTGAGTCAAAGGAATTCATCCTGTGTCATGTGGGACATTTAGACATTCGACCATGTCTTGAATCCCCGTCTGGGGTTCCTGTGCCTGCAGCCTCAATTTTAGCCAGATGTCAGCCAAATTTAGCTTCAAGAATGCTAGGCCTCAGCTTTTTAGCTTTTGTTGCGTTTGAACATATTTTATAGTTTTGTTTTTAGATAAACCATGCAGCGAAAGGATTTCAGCCGAGGGAACACCTCTTGAGAACATTTTTGCAACAGGTTGGGCGCAGGTAGTTTAAGCCACCGAAGCTTACTGAGAACAACTTTTGCAGTGAGGGTCGCAACCAGGTTTTTATTGGACAGTGTCTTCTTGCAAGGATCCCAAGTCGCTTTAAAAAATCAAACGTTTTTGCCGCCTAAAAGGTGAACATTGAAATTTTGAGAGGTGAATCTTGGGACGTTGGATGAGGATGGGTTTGCAAAACTGAGTCATGAGTCGTTTGTGGTGTATCTGAGGGACGTTGGTTCAGCATGGGTTGGCACAAATGCGTGGTATAACAAGGAGAGCTGCTCCGGCAAAATTCAAAATAGGGATGTGTGAGATAGGGTCTGAGGTTTTGTGGTGTATCTGAGGGACGTTGATTCAGGATGGGTTGGCACAAAATGCGTGTTATGAGATGGAGAGCTGTTCCGGTAAAGTTCAAAACAGGGATGTGTGAGATGAAAATCTTAGGGTCTGAGGTTTTGTGGTGTATCTTTATATATCTTTGGGACGTTGGTTCAGGATGGGTTGGCACAAATGCGTGGTGTAACATGGAGAGCTGCTCCGGCAAAGTTCAAAAGAGGGATGTGTGAGATGAAAATCTTAGGGTCTGAGGTTTTGTGGTGTATCTTTGGGACGTTGGTTCAGGATGGGTTGGCACAAATGCGCGGTGTAACATGGAGAGCTGTTCCGGCAAAGTTCAAAAGAGGGATGTGTGAGATGAAAATCTTAGGGTCTGAGGTTTTGTGGTGTATCTTTGGGACGTTGGTTCGGGATGGGTTGGCACAAATGCATGGTGTAACATGGAGAGCTGTTCCGGCAAAGTTCAAAACGAGGATATGTAAGATGAAAATCTTAGGGTCTGAGGTTCTGTGGTGTATCTTTGGGACGTTGGTTCAGGATGGGTTGGCACAAATGCGTGGTGTAACATGTAGAGCTGTTCCGGCAAAGTTCAAAAGAGGGATGTGTGAGATGAAGATCTTAGGGTCTGAGGTTTTGTGGTGTATCTTGATATATCTTTGGGACGTTGGTTCAGGATGGGTTGGCACAAATGCGTGGTGTAACATGGAGAGCTGTTCCGGCAAAGTTCAAAACGGGGATGTAAGATGAAAATCTTAGGGTCTGAGGTTTTGTGGTGTATCTTTATATATCTTTGGGACGTTGGTTCAGGATGGGTTGGCACAAATGCGTGGTGTAACATGGAGAGCTGTTCCGGCAAAGTTCAAAACGGGGATGTAAGATGAAAATCTTAGGGTCTGAGGTTTTTTGGTGTATCTTTATGTATCTTTGGGACGTTGGTTCAGGATGGGTTGGCACAAATGCGTGGTGTAACATGTAGAGCTGTTCCGGCAAAGTTCAAAAGAGGGATGTGTGAGATGAAAATCTTAGGGTCTGAGGTTTTGTGGTGTATCTTTGGGACGTTGGTTCGGGATGGGTTGGCACAAATGCATGGTGTAACATGGAGAGCTGCTCCGGCAAAGTTCAAAACGAGGATATGTAAGATGAAAATCTTAGGGTCTGAGGTTCTGTGGTGTAGTTTTGGGACGTTGAGTTTGTGATGTTTCCATTCGTGCTGTGAACAATGAACAAAGACAGTGAGCCGAGATCATCAGTGAGGGGCAAAAGGGACAGCTGGACAGCTGCTTCGGAATCTTCGGGCTTAAGTTCGAAAATGAATCCCTGAGACTTGGGATACTCAAGACATGGTCAAATGTTTAAGGACCCCACATGACATAAGATGAATTCCTTTGAGCCAACCTTTTGCCTAGACCAGAGGGTTTCACCTGAAACCACAACCCCATCAAAGGGCATTTGATCATTCCTTAAGTATCCCACACCTCAAGGGATTCATTTTTTGTTTTTTTGGGACATATGTTATTAGGCTATTTTGGGCTTAAAGGTTTTCATTTTAAAAAAAAAAAAACGTGACTGGACTTTACCCTATGTCAGGTCATAAGGTTTTATTTTGGCGTTTTTTTGTTGTGCAAAGATCACCAAGATGTGACATGTCAACCCCATAGGTTTTCATTTTGGCCAAAATATGTTGGCCCTATAGGTTTTCAACCAGGTTTTTGGCTGAAAACCTTTGTGCTGCCCCTCTGTGGCACATCCAACGGGGATATGTCAGCCGATCAAAAAAATCGCATTTTGTAGCAACACATGATTAGCTTGATAAAGGCTATGTTAAAATCAAACGAGCATTTTGTAGCAAAATGACAGGGGCAAGACCTTGGTTTTGACCAAAAGCAC